CCCCCCCCCCCCCCCCAATAGCTGTCATCCTCAACCGTTCAACTAAAAACAATCCAATGATCTTGGGTACCAGGCCTCACTTGTTCAAAAGGTGGCATTATCCAACTATCTAACGAAGTTGGTTTCCCTAGCACTAATTCATTACTAGATAGTGATTTATCTGGTGGTACCTGAGCCATGACTGAATGTAGCAATACATTTTTAAAGAACAAAAAAATTCACAAGTAGGAGAGGAGACATTGGGCTTTATGATAATAAAGTAAAAATGTACCAGAAACTGTATTAGTAATTCCTAGATTTTACATTTTTTAAATTTCTCCAGATTATGGTGCAGTCATGACTCATAACAATTCCAAGTCTACCCATCACTGCCTCTTGCCCAACCCCCCATCACACCCAAGATCGTTTATATGGTGATTTGAATTCAAATTTCTTCCTTACATAGTAATTATTGATCCAGATTATGCCCCACATAAGATAATCCGGATTCTAGAATATGGGACATTTTTGCTTGTGGAATCCGGAATCAAGGAAAAGTTTAATTGTCAAATCAGGAATCCTGGTCTTTGGAATCTGGAATTCTGCAAATGATGGAATCCAGAATCCAAGTTCCACTGACAAGGAAAAAATCTGGAATCCACAGGGTGGAACCAAATTCCAAAACTATCTTTGATTACCTTACATGCCAGGGTGACAGATTGTTTAGTGTGGACCTTAAGCCTTAAGAGTGATCAGCATCAAATTTCTCCTTGTAATATCAATGTTTTGTAAAACAGAGTGGTCATGAGAATTATGGACATGATCAAACAAGATGAATTTGCTTGATATTTTATCAACTTCTCCCCACTACTTCTGCAGGAAATGAATAGGGACAACAAATGAGAATTCAAATTTTGACCTTAGGGTTTAAATAAATGGTTAACACAAATTTTTCTTACCTCAACAGCTACCTTCAGAGTCCCACATCTTTCTTGTAGTTTCTCATGATAAGTGAACACTTCTCCTCGAGCATTTTCCTTTTTCACTAGCTGTTGCTTTAAGACCTGTTTCTGCCCTTTGTCTACAAACTTTGTTTTGGTCGCTTCCTTGAGTTCCTTAACTTGAGCTTCTAATCTAATGAGCGTCTTCCTTAAAGTTGTTAAATCAGTTAGGTCCTGAAGTGATAGTCCAGGAATTAAAAGACGCATCTCTTTCGCTACTGAATGCATCGATTTACTCTCTGCTGAAGCCAACCTCCTTGCCCTCTCTGCTCTAAGGGCATGAAGCTTTAGCCTAAGCTTTTTGTTGTGTTGTTGGAGCTTTTCAACTTTATCTTCCAACTCATCTCCTCTTAAAGCGAAGTTTCGTACGTTTGCTTTCTCTGACAGCAGAGCTTTTAACATTCCCTGTAGGTAGATAGTTTGACTTTGACCTCTTTCTAATGTCTCAATAAATTGTTCATATTCTGCTTTTATCTCTGACAAAAGAGACTTGTAGACAACAGCTTTGCTCTCTATCAGTTGATCAAAGGCATGTTTGTGCACCATAAAACGGTCTTGCTTGCTATATTCCGGCCGTAACGTAACCGTTTGCAGCTCATTAGTTAAACTTCTCTCTATTTCTTTAAGATCAGCGCCAGGTAAGCCCTTGGAAAAAGCCGTTTTCTTTTCCCTAAAATCTCTTGCACTTAAAGGAGATTTTGTGCTTACACGTGATTTAGAGGAGCGGGGTGAATGGACTGAAATTGGACTGGCAGATCTTCTGGCCTGCATTATTAGCAACTGGGATCCGTCTCGGAAACCAAGTGCTTTTTCAAAAACGACTTTTGACAGCTTCAAACCGCAACGTGTAAGTCAAGAAACTCCGCCATGTTTGTCTTCCAACACGGTTGCCACAGCTGGAATGTTAGTCGTCAAGCGAAAATAAAAGAACCAATTTGATTGGATATAAAATCATAAATCGGCCAATCAGAATGCATCTTATAGTTCTAATGCAAAGTACATCCTCAATTCGGTTCATACATGTTTGAAGTTGAAACATGGCGGACTCTTCAGCATTTCCTGAGTTATCTTCACACGCTACTGAAGAAGAAAAGAACCTTTCTTTGAAGGAGAAGATAAACTTAATCGACAATGAGATTCGCCAGTTGTACGAGTTTTGCCTCAAAGCTGGCTATACACAGCCTCAAATTGAGGAATGTGCTCAACCCTTGCTAGACATACAGAGCAGAGAAAAGCGCGTCAAATGGTTTTGGCGACTGTGTTCTTTCGCTCTGTTCGTAGGATTTGTTGCCTTTTTGTTCGCCTATGATCCTACCTACCGCCAAATCTGTATTTATGGCAAGTTTGTGGCCATGAAGGTAAACAAAATACTATTTTACATACAGAAGTTATTATAGTTCTATTTGCCACTTGCAAAATATCTTCCATAATGCACCTTATTAGCCCCCCCCCCCCCCCCCCCCCCCCAAAAAAAACCCTACACCCAAATTTCTTTTTTTTTTTTTTGGGGTGTTGTATCCCCCGGAGTAAAATAAAAAAAAAAAAATAAAAATGTGAGAGGGGAAAAAAAGTTAAAATTGAAAAGGAGGAAGTGGGTAGTTCCTTTCTGTTTCTTCGCTTCTCAGTTCGTTTGGTCAAAACATACAAATTGCCTTTTTTTTCGCCTATGATCCTTCCTACCAAAAAATCTGTATTTATGGCAAGTTTTTGGCCATGAAGGTAAAAAAAATACTATTTTACATACAGAAGTTATTATAGTTTTATTTGCCACTTGCAAAATATCTTCCATAATGCACCTTATTAGCCCCCCCCCCCCCCCCCCCCACAAAAAAAATTGCCATAAGCATTGTTTTCTTTTTTTCTTGGGATGGCTGTTATACCCAGGAGAAATGAAAAACAAAGGTTATGCAAAATTTTGGGGGGCAAATAATACATATTATGGGAGATGTGCAAGTGGTGAATTCGTTCCTTCCCTAATGGCCTTCTCTTGCTTGTAAAAACCCTTGAAATATTAGGCCCCAACATCCACTTAAAAATTCTCCAGGCCGATCTCTATGTACTTCCTTACAGAATTAATTGAGAGAGTTAAATTGATAAAAGATCAATTAATAAATTCTGATAACCTTTTCTCTTGGTTATGAAGTGATATTGTCAGGAGAAAATTGAGTTTGGTCGTAAAAATGGAATTTCTGTAGAACATAAGACCAGATTTTCTAACACTACAGACACATGAAACGATATATGTTTATCGGTGCATTTTTTGAGCACTTTGTAGGAAAAACAACCATTTTTTCTGAGAAAGGTACTTCATTAACAGAGAGGGGTGTATATTAGCCCTTATTTATTGTAATGTTTTTTTTTTTCAAATAACAAAATTAATGTAAGACGTAATCCATCAGGAAATTGAGTAATTTTTTTTTTCAGTGGACAAAAATTTTGTACCAGAATAATTTAAAGCATAAATTTTGCATTCTTTTTTACATTTTTCAAGGGTTACAGATGTAATAATATTTACACCAAAGAAAATTTCTAATGGGGGCCCGAGAAAATTAATGTCAAACTTAACAAAATGACAGCTTGCAAATGAAATTTTCAGAATTTTCCTGTGTTTTCACAATTCTTGTGAAATTTGACATTCATTTTCTTGGGCTCCTATGGGAAATCTTCTTTGGTGTTATTACAGATAACTAATTACATCTCTAACCCTTAAAAATTGTAAAAAAGAATGCAAAATTCCTTACATTATTCTGGTACAAGGTTTTTGTCCACTGAAAATTAAAATTTCTCAATTTCCTGGTTGATTCTGTCTTAATACTCTGGTTTTTGCTACAATTTTAGGCACTTTTCACTTCGCCTACATAACAGTCACTTAATGAGCCAAGCAAGGCAGATGCAGCATTTTGCGCAAAGTGCAAGGCGAAGGGAGGAGAAAAATAAAGTGCCTGTTACCAGTCCATTGTTCTGGTTCCTCCACCTACCTACGCCTACAAACATTGACTGATGGGGAAAATTGTCTCCTTTCTGGCTACCAGAAACCACAGGAAATAATTACAGTCAAAACCTGTTAATTCAGACACTGAGGGGGCCATAAAAAGTGTCCCTATTAACAGGTTGTCCATATTAAGCGGGTTAAATTCAGTGAAATTGTAAGGGATAGGAACAAGAAAAACTGTCTGTAATACAAGGTGTCCGTATTAAGTGTGTGTCTGTAAAGCAGGGTTTCGCTGTACTATTAGTGCATGAAACACCTCTAAAATTAATGTGAGACTCAGTGCAGCAAAAATAAGATTTACTTAGTCAAAGTTAGAATATCAAACACAGTGGCAAGAAAGAAAAGAGGGGAAACCTGTTGTTCAAACAAACTCTAAGGTCACGCTTCACATTATCCCAAGCTTATGAGTCATGTTTGGCCTGTCAACACTTTACTTCAAAAAGTTGGTAAATCAGGCTTTTTCCAAACCCAGTTAGAAGCAATTTTATTCAATAACATCTTTTCTTTTCAGCAATAAATGAAAACATTTCTTTTGTTTTTCCTTTATATTTGGAATATTTGGAAATAAACGAAGAACTTCTCTAACAGCATCGTCAAAAGAACATGACTTGCATGCATGACAGCCACTTTGCTTGAGACAAACATGCCAGAATTTTGCCAGAAAAACGTGTTATCAGGAAATATTGACCAATTAGAACACGACGTTCATGTAGTGAATGAGGGAAGAGCCGGAACAATGGACTGGTGACAGAGGCTTTATTTTTTCTCCTCCCATCGCCTCGTGCTTTGCACTTCTTTTGCGTTTGCCTTGCTTGGCTCATTAGAGCACCTGTTACACAGGCTACTTTTCACCATTAGCAAAGAGTTCTTTTTTGTTTTCAATTTTACATAAAACATAACTGTTTGATCAGGTCCACATTCATCCATACAATAAATATCTGGCACTGGGTCAATAATTATAATGGGTGCAGGTTGGGAGGGGCCAAGGAGGTGATGTTTGTGAAGGGTCATGGGGGGGGGGGGGCAGTTGCAATGGGAAAAGTCTCCATATTGTAGATCTGCAAATAGTTAAAATAGGTTTAAAATAAGCAGCGTGTGACCACCAATAATTATGTGCAATCTTCCAAAAAGCCTTGGGGACTAAAAGTTGAGGGTGAATTTTTGCTATACAACTACCATACAAAAGAGCTGTAGTATTGCAGAGTAAGGAGTTAAAGTAATGATAATAACAGCGATTACCTTGTTGCTCCTTTCAATCAACTAACTTAGTGGAGTTTCAGTTTTGAAGAGGAAAATTCTGATTGTTTGAAGAATATAAGATCAATATCCACACTGAAGTCATCATTTTGATGTTCTTGTTGTTAGGTGACTCTAGACTGACACAGAGTACTTAGTTTTCTGATTTTTGTCCTTAATTTTTAGGCTCTTCCTTATTGGGATTGGACTGTTATTTATGACAAGGAATGTCTCATTGACAATCCCTACAAGATTCAAGACGGACTGACTGAAGAAGATTGCAATGCTTGTCAACAACTTAAAGGAGTAAAGAGAATTGCTAACGCTAGTCAGAGTGAAATAGCGGAAAGCTTTCTCTTCAACCAAATACCTGTTATTGTCACTGATGCCGTTGAAGGATGGGATGCGTTGGAAAAGTTTGATCTCAATTACTTAGCAGAGGTACCTAGGGCCATTCCATTTAATAACCAACCGCTCCCCATGGGTGACAGTTTCTGAGAGGGCTGTGGAAGTTATTTTCAAGGGGGGTGGCTGTGTCGACGCCCTCAATCTTAAGATTATTTCTGAGGGGTATGAGATTTTTTTGGAAACGGGGGGGGATGGGTTATATCTGATGTGGGGACTGTATTGTTGTTTTCTTCTAAGAGGGTAAAAGTCAACTTACCTTATATATAGGGGGATGACTTTAAAAATGGAATTTTACCCCATCTTTGTGTTAGGCTTCTTATAAACAGTGTGTTTGCTCTTGCAAGATTCATCCTATTGTAAATTTTATCTGGATCAAGGTTTTCTCTCGGTTTTCAGTTTAAGTTGTCCAAAGAGAACCTCATCTCTCTCTCACACACACAAACATGAACACTACTTCCTTTGCATTCTAATCAGATGATTAACAACTACTGAATGTTTTGCTGATTACAAAGGGGTTAGTTTATAATCTAAAAAAATGCATATTGCAGTTGGTTTTTAACAAAGTGATTAACAAGCCTTATTTTTTCCCAGTTGTATGAGAAAAATGAAGTGTTAGCAGATCGTTCTGATGGATGCCAATTTCAGAGCACAGTCCTGGNTTTTAAAGATCAAGTGGCCGCTAATGCGGTTCGTAAGCAGTTACGCGATCTTAGCCATAAGATTGGCCCTACTTTGCAACCAGTTTTCGTGAGCAAGAAATTGGGGCAAGACCTTAGACCCAAAGAAATCAAGCCGTCAATTGTTAATAAGCAGTGTGTTGTTTACAATTTTTCATGTGATCTGTGCGATGCAGATTATGTCGGGTACACAGCCCGACACCTTCATCAACACATTGCTGAGCACAAAAATTCGGCAATCGGTAGACATTTCTTAGAAGCTCACGGTAACAACAACCTTTTGAGAGAAAGCCAATTCACGGTTTTAAGAAAGTGCCAGAGCAAATTTGACTGTTTAGTATTTGAAATGCTCTTCATCAAGAAACTTAAGCCCAATTTAAATATTCAGACAGACTCCATACGTGCGAAACTCTTTGTTTAATATTTTCTCACGTTACAATTTTTTAATCAGCTATTGT